CTCATGAGCAACAATTCTTCCAATGACTTCCGTTGGCTTGAGATATTTGTAGTTTGGCATCATTTGGATCAATGTGCACACGGTATCATACTTTCCATCCAATGCTCTTAGGATCTTCTTGATGATGAATTTGTCAGTCATCTCTTCACTCCCTAAGCCGGCAATCTCATTTGTGATAAGAGCAAGCCTAGAGTATATTTCAGCGACACCTTCACCATCCTTCATTTTGAACTTGTCAAGTTGACTTTGGATCACATCCAACTTGGATTCCTTGACGGAGTCGGTACCTTCATGCATATCAATGAAAGTATCCCAAATTTCCTTTGCATTCTCAAGACGGCTGATTTTGTTGAATTCTTCGGGGCACAAGCCATTGAAGAGGATATCGCAAGCTTGAGCGTTGTATTGCAGCATCTTCAATTCATCTGCGCTAGCTTCACGGTTTGGCTCTCTCCCATCAAAGAATTCACCTTGCAAGCCAATACACACAATAGCCCAAACGACAGGGCTATGTCCAAGAATATGCATTTTCATCTTATGCTTCCAACTAGCAAAATTAGTACCATCAAAATAAGGACCTCTACGGTGATAATTTCCCTTGCTAGACGCCATACTCTCCTAGGTTGTGAAACCAAGGCCATGACCACCAAAAGCTATGGAAATCAAAGCAAATGGAGACCAAGGCTCTGATACCACTTGTAGGACCTTGAAGTATGTCTAGAGGGGGCGGTGATTAGACTACTTGACCAATTAAAAACTTGACCTTTTCCCAATTTTAGAGTTTGGCAGATTTTAGCTATCTTTGGACAAGTCAAGCAATCATCACACAATTCAAGCAAGCATGCAAAGAGTATATGAGCAGTGGAAATTAAAGCATGCAACTTGCAAGAAAGTAAAGGGAAGGGTTTGGAGGATTCAAATGCAATTGGAGACGCGGATGTTTTTGGCGTGGTTCCGATAGGTGGTGCTATCGTACGTCCACGTTGATGGAGACTTCAACCCACGAAGGGTAACGGTTGCGCGAGTCCACGGAGGGCTCCACCCACGAAGGGTCCACGAAGAAGCAACCTTGTCTATCCCACCATGGCCGTCGCCCACGAAGGACTTGCCTCACTAGCGGTAGATCTTCACGAAGTAGGCGATCTCCTTGCCCTTACAAACTCCTTGGTTCAACTTCACAATCTTGTCGGAGGCTCCCAAGTGACACCTAGCCAACCTAGGAGACACCACTCTCCAAGAAGTAACAAATGGTGCGTTGATGATGAACTCCTTGCTCTTGTGCTTCAAATGATAGTCTCCCCAACACTCAACTCTCTCTCATAGGTTTTGGATCTGGTGGAAAGAAGATTTGAGTGGAAAGCAACTTGGGAAAGACTAGAGATCAAGATTCATATGGTAGGAATGGAATATCTTGGCCTCAACACATGAGTAGGTGGTTCTCTCTCAGAAATGGTAAGTTGGAAGTGTAGGTTTGTTCTGATGGCTCTCTCCATGAATGAAGAGGAGGTGGAGGGGTATATATAGCCTCCACACAAAATCTAACCGTTACACACAATTTACCAAACTCGGTGGGACCGATTCAACAGACTCGGTCAGACCGATTTGATAAACCTAGTGACCGTTAGAATTTTCGGTGGGACCGACATGCAACTCAGTAGGACCGATATGGTTAGGGTTAGGGCATAACGTAATCTCGGTAAGACCAATTACATAAACTCGGTGAGACCGATTTTGGTAATAAGCTTTCCAGAGAGTTGGTCAGGTAAACTCGGTGGCACCGATTCGCTCATTTCGGTGAGACCGAAATGTTACGAAAGGGAAACGGGGAGTTTACATTGCAATCTCGGTGGGACCGATCGCTCACTTCGGTTTGACCGAAACGTTACGAAGGGAAACAGAGAGATTACAATCCCATCTCGGTGAGACCGAGATCCCTATCGGTAAGACCGATTTGCCTAGGGTTTGTGGCAGTGGCTATGACATTTGAACTCGGTGGCGCCGGATAGAAAGAATCGGTGGGACCGATTTTGACTTTGGGTTTAGGTCATATGTGGATGTGAGAAAGTAGTTGAGGGTATTTGGAGCATAGCACTAAGCACATGAAGCAAGAGGCTCATTAAACAACACCTCATCCCTCCTTGATAGTATTGACTTTTCCTATAGACTCAATGTGATCTTGGATCACTAAAATGTAAAATGAAGAGTCTTGAGCTTTTGAGCTTGAGCCAATCCTTTGTCCTTGATATTTTGAGGGATCCACTTTCATCATCCATGTCATGCCATTCATTGAGCTTTCCTGAAATAATAGTCTTAGAATAGCATTAGCTCAATGAGCTATATGTTGTTATGAATTACCAAAACTACCTAGGGATAGTTGCACTTTCAACCTGTCAAAATATTGGCCATATGGATTCCATATATCAGCCACACATAAATTATAAAGAAATAGCACGAGTGCGAATCGAACCATGTAGGTTTGCTAGCTTCCGCCAATGGTTAACCACGACTAGACTTTCTTGTTTTGATAGGATACATCATGAATATATCCTTCACGTCCTATGTGGGCTGCAGTTGGTGGGACCTCCATTTTGCAGTGTTATTTTTTTACAAAATCTATTTATATTATAATCATGTGTTACAAAAAATATACATAGTAGTAAAGTAAATTAAATTATAAAAAAGAGCACTTTATATGCATGAATATTTTATTAAGAATGTGAACATTTTAAACATTTATGAACATTTATTGAATATATAAAACATAAAAATTCTATTTCATATTTTGTGAATTATGCAAATTATAATGTGAATACTTTTGTAATCTATAATTCGAATATATGGATAAAATTTTAGATAATAAGTGAATAATTTTATAATTTAATTCTTTACATATATATATATATATTATTTATAACATTTGATTATAATTTACATATATGATGTAAACTTATAAAAAGTAATAGTGCAAAATGGGCCGCATGAAGTGCATTCCCTTATAATATTTAAAAGGATATAAAAACAAAAATTCTTAAAACATGAACACTTTTATATACTACATCAATCAATATTTTGTGAAAACTCTGACATTTTTAAACTTATATAAGCATTTACTGAAATATACGGAAAAATATAAATAAATTTGACATATTTTATTCAATATGCATATTATTACATGAATATTTCTGTAATTTATAATTTAATCATATGGATAAATTTTAAATTAATACGTCAATATTTTGTAATGTGATTTATTTTTATATTATATTACTTATAATATAATACTAGATTTTACTTATATATATTCTACAGCTTTCTAAAAAAAGATTGCAAAATTGGCTTCATTTGTATTGGTTTACAGTATAAAAACATTTTTATATTTCATAAATATTATTTTGGATATATGCATAATTTTAAAATAATACATGAACTATTTTCTAAAGAATTTCTTCTGTTTTGTGTATTATTTATACTGCAAGAATAATTAAACATTATTTTTATTAGTGAGATTAGAATTTGCATACCTTTACATATTTCTAAAAAGATAAACTCCAAGAGCGACTTTGTTCTACTACATTACAAAGAACTTACGAACAATAGGTGTGATGACGTTGTTGGTGCAGTGGCTATGACCGGTTGTTTCCCACCTACTCCCTCCGTTCCTAAATATAAGTCTTTGTAAAGATTCTGCTAGGTGGACTACATACAGAGCAAAATGGATAAATCTACACTTAAAATGCATCTATATACATCCGTATGTGGTTCATAGTGGAAGCTCTACAAAGACTTATATTTAGGAACGGAGGAAGTATATGATAGCAAGTTCGAGTTTTTCTTTCAAATTTCCATACTGTACTAACAGGCGGGACGGATTGTCCACAGAGACCGAAAACATGCAAGCTCTCCAACGTGAGCAGGAGCTCTTATGTGAAAATAAAAATAAAAATCAAGATTTTTGTAAAAAAACAAACCACACGCCCTCCTTCCTCCCTTCCTATCACTGACAGCGGGACATGCGCCATGCATGTGAGCCTGGTCAGCACCCCTTTCGTATCCAAACGTGATTTGCACCGTATTTTTTTTTTTAGAAAAGGAGGATGACTCCCGGCCTCTGCATCTGGGCGATGCATACGGCCACTTTATTAATTATTCTCACAAGACCTTACAAAGTCATACAACAGTAAGACTAAAGCCGCGGTCTAAGCAATAAACTGTCGCTACACCTATCCAGTTGATGAAGGGGCGCAAATAGCCTGAGCCTAATACCAAACAGACATCGCAGCCAAGCCTAACATCTAAGACCTGAGACCCCAACCTAGCCACTTGCCGGGTCTGGGGCACACACTGGTCCGGCGTGCTCTCAGAGGCCGCCGCCGCCAACTGCCACCGCTCCATCTTCAGAACTGTACTGATGCATTAACCTTGCTCGGCCCAGCTATCGTCGACGCCACCACGGCGCCCAACGTCACCTCCTCCCTGCGCGCAAACAGCTATACACGTCGCGGTCGCCACTGATACACCTCAGCGCCATGCTGCCACGTACCACCAGCCGACACAGCTTGAAGCCCTTGGAGGATTTGTCGTGCGTAGCACCTGCCGACCAGGCATGACCAAGCGTAGCACCTGATTTGCACCGTATTTGCACGAACGAGCCAAGTTTTTACACCAGTTCGATCTATGCCGCAAGTTCTAGCACCAAATTGATCGTTCACGACAAGGTCTGACACCACCGTTATAATTAACTCTTTTTTTAAAAGCAATTCTGATTCTGAATCCTTTTAAAGATACAGATAAACTAAGTACAGAAGTGCTTCCATCAGAAGTTCGACAACACCCCTTTAATACAAAAACCTGCAGTATTGCAACCGAATGGCGCATCGTATAAATATCAGCCCATCTTTACAGGAGTACAGTAGATTAACTCTACGCAAGATCACAGGTGCTAGAATCAAACGCAGCAATTGACACCCGGTCGATGCTGAAGCAAGCAGAGTTCGTCGAGATCAGCCAGAGGAGCCCTGGAGCCTGGACACGAAGCTGGATGCGGCGAACGCGGAGGAGCCCCCGGCGACGCAGACGAGGGCGGCGACGGCCTGCAGCGCCACCTCCCAGGGGTACTGCTCGGGGACGAGGAAGACGACGGCGGGGCCGGCGGCCAGCAGCAGGAGCGCGAGGCCCTGCAGCGAGCCGGGGGTGCCGGGGTCGGTGGCGGCCGACAGCACCCCGAGCTCCTCCGCCTTGGACAGCAACCCGAGCCGCTCGACCGCCGACAGCGACAGCCCGGCGCGCTCCGCCGCGGACAGCAGGCCCGCCTTCTCCGCCTTGGTCAGCAGCCGCAGCTTCTCCACGTTCGTCAGCAGCTTCACGGGCGCCGACCCCTTCGTCGTCGCCGGCCGCGGCGGGCCCGCGGGCTTCCCTACCGGGAACACGGTGGTAGTGCCCTGCATGCGCCACACGCGCGCGTCGGTAAATTCCAAGTTCTTGGACACGCACGCACGCACGCATGGAGTCGACATGGAAATAGATTGATAGCGCAAGGGACTAACGGCAAGGCGCTAGCTTACCGACGATCTTTTCGTGCCGCCGGAACTGGGCTTCGGGCCCTTGGTTGCCATGGCGGTGACACTAGGAGTGAGGCGGCCCCTCCAGCCGGCCGTCCGCGCCGTAGTCGCGGCGACGGTGTTGGGCGACAGAAGCGACGCCATTGCCACCTCTCTCCTCGCGTCGTCGATGGATCCCCTGCTCTGCTAGGTAATGGTTCAGGACTTGGCGACGTGCAAACCTTCGTCCCTTTGGCTTCGGTGGAGTGGTGTAGCTGGTGTGTGCGGTGTCGCCTGATCCATCCAAGCAGGAGACGTGGCATCTCTCCAGCGCCACGAAGTCCAACGTTGGCGACGAATGACTATTAAATCACAGAAATAATGTTACTATATTTCTAGGTGTAATGGTGTCATCAAATGACTCCGTGGCCCAATAGATAAGGCGCTGGTCTACGAAACCAGAGACTCTGTGTTCGATCCCCAGCGGAGTCGTATCCCTTTTTTTTTCTCTTTATTATGTATGGCCCAACGTAGTTGTAGTTATAAAGCCCAAAAGTTTCGTCAACTGACTCTGTGGCCCAATGGATAAGGCGCTGGTCTACGAAACCAGAGATTCTGGGTTCGATCCCCAGCGGAGTCGTATCCCTTTTTTTTTTTGCTTTTCCTCTCTTCTCCTTTTTTTCCCTTCTCTTTTCTCTTTTTTCTCTCCGTCTCTTCCTGTTTTCAGCGGAGTCGCAACCCAAGAATCGAGTGCAAAAGCCCAATAAACACATATAGAGAAGAAGTGGGCTGCTGAATATAACACGTAACCCTCCGCCGCGCGAAGAAAAAAAAAGAGTAAAATGCACCGGCGGTCATTAAACTTACGTTGATAGCTCACTTTGGTCATCGTACTTAAGAATACGGTCAATACGGTCACTATATATGTCTGTTCGTGATTATACGGTCGTTGCCCATCGTATAGCTTCGTATTTTTTAGTTGACTGGTCAATAAGTCCAAATGGTGCCTCACCAGCTCGCATTCTCTCTGCCTTATGGGGGCCCAGCATGTCAGTGGGGTAAAAAAGCGGAGTCGTATCCCTTTTTTTTGCTTTTCCTCTCTTCTCCTTTTTTTCCCTTCTCTTTTCTCTTTTTTCTCTCCGTCTCTTCCTATTTTCAGCGGAGTCGCAACCCAAGAATCGAGTGCAAAAGCCCAATAAACACATATAGAGAAGAAGTGGGCTCCTGAATATAACACGTAACCCTCCGCCGCGCGAAGAAAAAAAAAGAGTAAAATGCACCGGCGGTCATTGAACTTGCGTCGATAGCTCACTTTGGTCATCGTACTTAAGAATACGGTCAATACGGTCACTATATATGTCTGTTCATGATTATACGGTCACTGCCCATCGTATAGCTTCGTATTTTTTAGTTGACTGGTCAATGAGTCCAAATGGTGCCTCACCAGCTCGCATTCTCTCTGCCTTATGGGGGCCCAGCATGTCAGTGGGGTAAAAAAGCATTGTCTCTGGCTTTGTGAATCCCCGCATGTGAGTGGGTTAAACAAGAATTATGGACGTTGGGTATCGAACCATGGATCTCTCGCTCGCCGCCGCCGACCACGTAAACTAACCGGTTGAGCGCACAACCTTTTTTGTGTAAAAAATTTAAATTGGTTGATACTTTATACTCCGTATAAATTACCCACGACGCACACAGGACGAGAACACATTGTACGCACACACGCGACGCACACGCTAGCACACAGCACATATGCACACAACAAAACACCGGAGCACAAGACTCACACTAGTACACGCGCACAAGAGTATCCGCTCTATATCTGGCCATGGGCCGGGCCGGGCCGGGCTGGGCTTGGGCTGGGCCTAAAAAAGCCCATGACAGAAAACTGAGGCCCAGGCCCTACCATCGGGCCTACTTTTCAAGCCCAAACCCGGCCCATATGGTAAAAAGCCCTCGAAAGCCCTTAGGGCTAGGGCCGTGGGCCGGGCCTCTTTTTTAAAATGCCAATATGCCAAGCCCAAGCCCGTCCAGGCCCTGCTGGTGGGCTCCAAACTTAGGCCCAAGCCCGGCCCATGATCAAGCCCATCGGGCCTAGGCCCTGGATTTTAGGGCCGGGCTTGAGATGGCTAGGACTAATCCGCTCTCACATACAGCCATGCATGCATGTTCTCTCGATGGACGGGTTGTGGTCGATTGGACACACATACAAATAATGGATCTGATCGATTGAACACACACTGGCTAGTGTCGACTAGCTCGGCTGCAGCCGCCGGCCGGCAGTACTGTTCAACAGGCGAGATATGTAAAGCCATAAGTCCACGACCACACGCGCTCGGCATCAAAGCCGGGGGCGGGGGAAGGCGATGAGCTTGCCGCTGCGCCATGAGCAATACACCGAGAAGTGTTGTGCATGCACCTATGTGTTGCAGGGGTAGGAGGAGAGTAGTCACGCGTGTCTGGGCGCGCGCGTTCTTGCACCTGTCACCTGTGTGTTGTGGGCGCACGTGCATGCGTGCTGGGTGTGTGTTGTCGGTGAGTTGTACTAGTAATAGTAAATAAATTTTGCATCACAAAGGTTTCCGCGCGCGCTCAATTTGCTAGCGCGTTTGGGTTGCACCAACAAGTCCCTCTGTCGATTCGCCGAACAAACATAATTTTAGTTTCTTTTATTTATTTCTTTTTTTTTTTGAGGAATCAAGGGGGGGAGAGGATCCCCACCTGTATATATTACTCAAGCGGCCAAAACAGGCCTGGCCGTGACAGATTACAGATTACAGGGGCACGGCTATCCGTGTGGTAAGGTAGCTTAGCCAAGACCTAGCAGCTACCTTGTCAGCATGATCTCTCAGACGGAGTGAAAAAAGCTCAAAGTCAGTTACAATGTTCTGTGTGGTAAAACGAGAAGAGTGATCTTCAGAACGAAAGACAGTAGCATTGCGGGAGTCCCAGATGCGCGAGAGCACAACCAGGAGCACTTCCGGCCACACCCTGCAATCCAACTCGTGCGGTGGTTGGACCAGCCAGAGATCCTGGAACCTGGGCGTCGTGGGAAGGCCTAGTTGTGCCCAAATCTGAACAGCACGCGGGCAGTCGAGGAACAGATGCGAGGTATCTTCAGAGGGAGCAGCACAGCGCGGGCAGCTGGCAGAGTCAGACATATGCTTGTATGACAGGTTTGCTCTAGTGTTTAGTCTGCCCCGAAACACGAGCCAGGCAAACAGCTTTAGTTTGTGCGGCGCTCTTGATCTCCAGATAAGATCACACTGACATGTGGGACCTGAGCTGATGAGGAACCGTTCAAACTGTTTGACGGGTCAACTAAAAAAATACGAAGCTAAACGATGAGGCAGTGACCGTATAATCACCAACAGACGTATATAGCGACCGTATAATCACCAACAGACGTATATAGTGACCGTATTGACCGTATTCTTAAGTACGATGACCAAAGTGAGCTATCGACGCAAGTTCAATGACCGCCAGTGCATTTTACTAAAAAAAAACTAACTAACCAGATAGAACTCGTCGGAAGGAGCGGGAGGAGATCCAAAGAGCAGACATGGCGGCGGCGCTGGAGACGATGAGGGCGTTCTGGGACTCGCAGTGCAACAACGAGGAGAACTGGGCGGTCAACTATGTCAGCCTCTCTCCCTCTTCTCGCTTCGATCTAGTTATTTATGTGTCGCATACTTATTAATTACCCTGTTCTTATGTCATTGCTGATGTGGAATTACTATATTATGGCAGTCCGGTTTGCTGCCTGCTACGGATGAGAGATTAGGTTTGGAATTTGGATGTTTAGGTTGTTCGCTAACCTTTTGATGTGTAGTAGTATATGGGGACCCGGGAACTTGGTAGCACATTGTGAACCTTGGTGGTTGTGTTCTGTTGTGCTTCAACAAGCTTGATTGTGAATTGCGATGCTGCTGCTCAAGGTTTTGGGCTCAATTAGGGCATAGAAAAAAGCCGAAGAAGTGATTTAGGCACTCTGACTCTGTCCTCCTGCCAGACCCTTCTTGGGGGCAGTTTCTCGGCCTTAGCACTAACACGCTTCGCTTGTTATCAGTTTAGACTAGTGTACTTGTGGCGTTGGTGAGACTATAATGTGGCGTTCTTACTAGTAAATTCATATAACTTCTAACTTGCTAGGTTCTGCACAACTACGGGTGTGGTTTTATTTCTTCATCTCTGTGTGTATAGATCCACCTCTATCTTCCATTGTATTCTCTTTATTCTACTATATGCGGTCCCCTCAAGGTTGTTCAACACTATGATCACAATTCATAGGATTAATGTGGGATCTAGGATCACGAATCAAAGGATAGTTCTAGAATTGGTAGGTTGGTCAGTCAACCTAGGTTGACAACCTTGGTTCCTTTGCTAGTGAATTGCTTACTTTAGTTACTTACCCTCACTAAAAAGTTGGTTAACAGTTAAATTATGCCTGCAGTGATCCTATTGATCTTCTAAATTTCTGCCTGAGAACCGATGTTTTTCTGTTGCTTTAAGTTATGCATGACATTGAATTTTTGCACTGGTTGATCATGTTTCTGATGTATTTTTAGTTATGTCTGTTAGTGGATCCTTTATATCTTATTGTCCCATGTGTTAGTTCTTGCCTAAAAGAGGAACCTTCATTTTTATTGAGGTGCAAAAGGATTTGAATTTGTGTTCCCCTCCGTGTTCTGCTATGCGATCCTCTCAAGGTTGTTCCACACTATGATTGCAATTCATAGGATATATGTAGGATCTACTAAGACAAGAAATCATTGGATTTTCTAGAATTGGTAGGATTAGTCAGTCAAACCTTGGTTCCTTCGCTGACGAATCGCTTACTTTAGTTACTTGTGAATCGCTTAGTTTAGTTACTTATCCCCACAAATTTGTTTGTTAAATTATGCCTGGCTATTAAATTTCTGCCTGAGATGTTTGAAATCTCTGCCAGAAAATCAATATTTTTTATTGCTGGATTCCTAACTTTTAAGTTATCCTTGACATTGAAACTTTGCAATGGTGGATCCTATCTCTGAATTTGTTGCCTGGCAGCTGAACATTTATATATTTTTTCTCCTATGTGTTTTTTTGGCCATAAAGTGGAACCCCATTTTTAGTGAGGCGCAAAATGATTTGAAGTTGTTCCGGCATGTTATCTCTTGGTGCTG